TTTTAAGTGTCTCGTGATTTATTTCTATTCTTTTGTTCATCAAATTCAATAAAAAAAATTATTAGTTCGTTGATATTTATTTTTAGAGGTCGCTCGAAAACATTTTAGGTACACTACTTTTAAAGTTACAATAATTATGAGTGACCTTTAGAAATTAAAATATCGATTTGAAATTTTCGGAATCGAGAGTTTTTTCAACCTAGAAAATGATAAAATAACGAGAAAAAAATTTTAAAAAAATTGAATTTTTGACGATTTGGAATTTTTAAAAATCTTGAGCGACCTCTAAAAAAATGTATTTTGAGCTGATTTTTTGAGGTTGCTCTTAAAATATGATAAACTAACATATTTTCACAAGAGAGAAAAAAAATATTCGTATTTTTTGGGCCACCCTAATGTGTATCTACTATCTACCCTGTACCTACTGTAAATATCATGTACGACACATCATTTGAAAGGAAATTTTAGACAAATTTAGAATTTGTGTAAAAATATTTTTCGAAGAATGTAACTAATGTAACTTAACTAATTTAAAAAAAAATATATCTATTTCCTTGATGACGATATTTTTAAAATTTTGCTGACAACTCTTGTTTCGCAGATTGGGGTACACTCCGTGTAAATTTTAAACAGAGCTACTGGTTTCGAGGAACAAGACCTCAAAATGTTATAATTTTTTTTTAATTATAGGGTTTATAGCCGTTCGTTTAAAATTAAATACAGTATTTCATACATTTTGAGCTGTATCTTGCTCATTTTAAAGCAGGAACATGACATATTAGATTTGCTTCTTGAGAAAATCTAACGAGGCATCTATATCGAGGGCGTCATATCAGAAGGGCGTATGAACCAAATCTGAAATTTTACAGGCATACGCCTTTCTGATATTAGTTTTGCAAAATTGGTTCATACGCCTAAGTAAAATGCGTTAGAATAGAGTGTTGTTGTTTATGAATATATACGCCCTTATATTAAGCTATTAAGCAAATTGATTAAATGAGGTCATACGCCCTAAATACCTAAAACTGACTATAGTAGCTCTTACGCCCTTCTGATATGACACCCTCGATATGATTTCTGATTACCAAGATATAAGTTCGTCAGACGACTGGGTTCAAGGGTCTATTTTGCAATGCATTCATATTTAGTTTTAAAGTGGCTCATCACAATCGATTGACCTGTTCGAAAGTTATGAACAGAAAGATCACGACATATCCACATCAAAATTAAGATTTATACATTTATTACAAAGAGTTACTCACCATTCTTGTATCGTGTCCAAATTACTGTTAAAATTGGCTCCGTTTCCAGCTAATTGCTGCTCGCGTTTCCATCGTATTAATTCCTCATCTAAAACGTGCGCCTGCAGTTGTGTCAATAACTGAAAGGTCTCTTTCAGCTTCTCTCCTACACCCAATCTCGACTGCATCAATCCTGCTACTTTCTGATTTAAAGCCTTCTCTAAGATCTCCTTCTGACTCTGAAGTTTCTGTATCGCTGCCACCGATTGTGGGTTGCTCGGCTGACCGGATATTTGCTGCAAATGAGCTAAAACGAAAAGGGTAAGTAACGGTTATGCTTCATTTTCTTCATGTTTAGTTTACCATTTATTTTTGTACAATCGTGGTACTGTAAAGCGAAGGCTTCTTGCTCTTGCTCCATCCTTCGTAAGTCTTCGGCAGTATTCTAAAAAGATAAAACAAATTACATCATAATGTTAAAAAAAAATTTATAACTGTGTGTGTTGATTTTTTGCTTCACTTCGAAGTATTTACCTGTGTTCTTCCCCTCAAAATATCGATTTTGTGTAAAACTTCTGCACTGGTGCTGGAGATGATCGGTAGACCCGAGAAAGTCTCGCCACCAGCTGCCTGCACTAGTCGCATTTCTGTTGCCAGGCATTGACGCACGTATGTGAAAAGTTGCATAGGATTGCTACTAACAAAATGAACACATTAAGCAACTAAAATAAAATATATGTAGCATTACTTACGAAATTAAGTTCGAATCAATACAATTCATTCTTTCATAATTGACAGTTTCCATATTACATATATTTATACTATGTAGGGTGATTACACTTTAAATTCTAACCTTACATAAACTTCATCAACCTTTCCTCGTTGGCTTATTTTTTAGGATACAGATAGCTAAAGTTTTCAATAAAATAATTATCTCAAGAATATAAATGGGTTTGATGAAATTGATACTTGTAAAGAAGGGAGGAATAGAGTCATTAGCCAAATTTCAAAAAGTAGATAATATAATTCTACATGTACTAAATAGTGTGTATGTACAATTAGAGATTGAGAAATGTGTCAGAACAGTTTTAAAACTGATTTTTTTATATTTCAAAACGGCTGTGACGTCATAAGGGGCACCTTGTAGTGAAATTGGAAGAAGAAGATGCTCTGTCAACACTATCAGTAGTGTCAGTTTGTCAGTGACACTGTCGCATAAAATATTTTCAAGTCTACGGGTTATTTTCTTTAATCTTCGAATTCCTTTATTATTATTTAGTAATAATCATTTAATATCTTCCCTTAGAATTAAAGCAGAATATGTGAAACGGGATCTGTGAAAACTTCTTCGCAAATTTTACCAAAAATTAATATTTTTATGATCATGAATTTAATTTTTAAAAAGAGACGACCGTTTTAATATTGGCAAAATCAGAGGTATAAAAGCAGTCAGGTAAGGATCAATATATTTAATGAATGATTTTATTGTGTTTATTTATATAAAATATCTATTTATTTATGGAAAATTATAGTGCAGTTCGGGAGTCTTATGGAAATAATGCAATTGGCTATGTGGAATATGGAACAAAACACCACTTCGGCATAGTGTATTATGAGCTGCTAAAACCGAAAGAAACAATCACAGGGAATCTGTATCGAAAGCAATTAAAACATACATTTAAGCTGAGAATTGAAAAATAAATAAGCGCAATACGGGAGACAAGATAAAGTGATTTTGTAGCATGACAATGCTCGACCCCATGTCGCAGTCGGTCAAAACATACTTAGAAGCATTGAAATGGGAAATCCTACTCCACCCGCTGTATTCTCCAGACATTGCTTCCCTTGACTATCACTTGTTTCGACCAATGACTCATAGCCTAGCTGACTAGTACTTACGTTCTTATGAAGAAATCAAAAATTGGATAAATACGTGGATCGCCTCAAAAGATGTGCAGTTTTTTTGACGCGGGATTCATACGCTGCCCAAAAGATGAGAGAAAATAGTGACCAGCGATGGACAATATTTTAAATAGTAAATATATGATCAGTTTTTTAATAATAAAGCCTCAAATTTTCGAAAGAAACGGCGGAAACAAAGTTGTTTACCTTTTATTTTTGTTGTTTTATAAAAAATTAATAAAAAATACTTACTGTTTCACAAAAAAAAACGCTCATAACGGTGCATATTTCCAAAACAATGGTAAGGAAATTTATTTTTTCAAAAAAACCGGGATACTTTTTTAACAAAAAACCAATTAATAGTTTACAAGTTGTATGTATCAAATTTCATTCAAATCCATTTAAAAAATTAAACTTCCCGAGACGAAACTGCAATTTCAGAATTTAAAGAGAAACCACCTTCTAAGTAAAAGGACTTGTCAGAAAAAAACACAAGAGTTCTCTAAATTTTCTCAAAGCCAAATCACTGCACTTTTTCAGGTCTATTTGTTGATACGATTTTTTACAGTTCACATAAAACTTGAACTTTATAAGACTTACACCACCTCTCTAGGAAGTTAGTTGTACACTTTGCTTTGAAATGTGCTAGGCAGATTATATATATACAAAAAAACTGATAAGGCAAATGGACAACAAAAATATTGTTAACCTCTCTGCCAACCCTTCACCTCTTAGTCATAACTGCTGTCTGCAAATAAATACATCTTGCCTTCTTATGACCAACATTTAATTTTGTTAAGACTTTTAATCCTCTTAAAAGTAATAAACAAATTTGATAATCCTATGTTTTATATGCCTTTTTTATTTCAGGAAAGGCAAGTTGGTATTAAAATTATTGTGTCTCCAAATTTAATTCATTGTGTCCGATACTGTTTATTTTTGCAGTTTCAACACTGTTGTAAATACAAGAGGTTGTTCACATGTATGTAAATAATTTCAACATTAAGATGGATGTGTTATTGATTCACATTTGCTTGACTTCTGCATTGCATACATATTACATATAAATAAACCATAAATCAAATATGAACAATAAAGAAGTAATTAAATGGGTATAAGAATCTTAATTAATTATATAATAAATAGTAATTACTTTGGAGCATTCAATATTAATTTTTATTGAAAATGTAAATAAACGTTACAGTTTTCTAAGACCTGACCTGTTTGACGTTTTTTTTTGTTATTGAATACAATACATTTTTTCTTCCCAAAAGTGCCTGATAAAAAGGACCACACGTGTAAATAATTCTCCCATTTTAAGAAATCGTTATTATTTTAATATTTACATTGACCTTAACTTCAAGTGAGTGACAAACAAAGCTTGTTTATTTTGTTGACTCGATACACTTTATATACAGGGTGTTAATGAATAGGTGTTACAAACGGATATGGTATGTAAAAAATCCAAAAATAAGTGCAATTTACTTAATAAACATATGTCCTAAAGCGGCTCATTTTCGAGATACCGGGCGTTGAAATTTAAAAATAATAAACTATTTTTTCCTGTAGTTACGGTATTAGTTAATATTTCTTTATCAAACTCAACAGACAGATTTACTAGCTTAAAGGATGCATAAGTATGGCAGAAACCATTTATTGGCTTCTTCCAGTGGCGTGCGATAGGTGTCGTTTCAGCTTTTATCCCCCCTAAATTGTGCGGCACTGTACAAATATTAGTTTTTCGTATGTTTTTGAATTTGCTAGTATTTTTTACGTAAATAATGTATACTTGTTAGACTTCCATAAAATGAGTAATTATCAAGTTATTAACATTTACATTACTGAGGTCACCTTATGCTCCAAAAACCAAAAATTTTTAAAAAGTGACATGTTGAGTAAATTTTTCACGAAATTGTTTAGTAAATGCATACATGTGTCGCTTTTTCTTTTTGAGATACAAAACATTCAAGGTTTCCGTATTCCTCAAGCAAGTTTAAAATGTTGGAAAAAAAACATTTGCCGTTGACATTACTTGTATTTTAATGTCAAATTATTTTCGATTGTGAAACGAGGCAGTTTTTAATTATTATTGTTATTTTAGTGTAAAGTTTAGTTTGTAAGTTTTAATTATTAGATAGATATCTTTATCCATTCGTTTAAAACATTCATACATCATGAATGAATATACTTCTGCTGATTATGCAAACATGATATTAATGTACGGTCAAGCGCGTTGTAATGGCAGGGCTGCCCGTCGGTTATACTCAATCCGATTTCCAAATCGTCCAACCCCTTCACATAAGATATTTGGAAGAGTGTTTCGCAGGTTGCAGGAAACAGGAACTTTTACAACAAATAGGGTTAACTGCGGGGTAAGGAGAAACCGCAGAACGATAAGGTTCGAAGAAGAAGTTCTTAATAGGATAGAAGAAAACCAATCCACCAGCAGTCGAAGTATTGCTCAGAATATGCATGTAAACCATGTAAGCGTTTGGCAAGTTTTACGCGAGCAACAGCTTCACGCTTATCATATACAAAAGGTTCAAGCTTTAACTCCCGCCGACTTTCAGCCACGACTAAACTTTTGCCATTGGTTTCTTCAACAGTGTCAGTTGCAAGCAAATTTTCCGCGGTTTGTGCTTTTTACAGACGAAGCATCCTTCACACGAGAAGGGATCTTTAATTCTCGCAACAACCATGTCTGGGCTGAAGAAAACCCTCACACCATTCGCTCCACTAGATTTCAGCAGAAGTTTGGCGTCAATGTCTGGGCTGGTATAATTGACGGGCGCTTAATTGGTCCGCACCTTCTTCCAAATCGTCTTACAGGTCCTATTTATTTAACGTTCCTACAACAAGTACTTCCAGAATTATTAGAAAATGTGCCATTGAACATTCGACAGGAAATGTGGCTGCAGCATGATGGTGCGCCAGCGCACTTTTCGCTTGTTGTCCGAGATCACCTTAATCAACAATTCGGTGTAAGATGGATTGGCCGTGGAGGACCTATGGCGTGGCCACCACGTTCCCCAGACATGACCCCGCTTGACTTTTATTTGTGGGGCCATATGAAGAGTCTAGTTTATGAAACTCCTGTTGAGTCAGAAGAAGATTTGGTAGCACGCATTCTAGCTGCAGCGCAGGAGATCGAAACGACGCCTGGCACTTTTGACCGAATGTACACAAATATGCTTCGAAGAATTAACGCTTGTATCGCTACTGGTGGCCGTAATTTTGAGCATTTACTGTAATTTTTTTGTGCAAAATAAAAATACCTTTTAAACAACTTTAACTTTTTGTATCTCGAAAACTAGCATAGCATAGAAAAACATAGTTTTTGGAGCATAAGGTGACCTCAGTAATGTAAATGTTAATAACTTGATAATACTCATTTTATGGAAGTCTAACAAGTATACATTATTTACGTAAAAAATACTAGCAAATTCAAAAACATACGAAAAACTAATATTTGTACAGTGCCGCACAATTTAGGGGGGATAAAAGGTGAAACGACACCTATCGCACGCCACTAGAAGAAGCCAATAAATGGTTTCTGCCATATTTATGCATCCTTTAAGCTAGTAAATCTGTCTGTTGAGTTTGATAAAGAAATATTAACTAATACCGGAGCTACAGGAAAAAATAGTTTATTATTTTTAAATTTCAACGCCCTGTATCTCGAAAATGAGCCGCTTTAGGACATATGTTCATTAAGTAAACTGCACTAAGTTTTGGATTTTTTACATACCATATCCGTTTGTAACACCCATTCATTAACACCCTGTATACTTTCATTACATCAGTTATTCTAAGCTGAGTACCTAGAACTGACCAACCAATAAACAACACTGATAGGTAATGCATGCAAATTGAAATTATTTATGACTATTGCCAAAAAAGAGGAGCTTTCATGAATTTTTTAAAATTTTTATTTCAACCTCTCGAGAAGTACCTGTAACTTGGCAAAAACTAAAGATATAAACTTTTTTTTTCATTTTGTTCGTTTTGAAATGTAGTTTTATAAAAATAATACATTTTTAGTTTTTTATTTTTTTTATTTTTAAACCAAAAAAGTGCTTCTTAAAAAAGAGTGGCGGTTTTTTTTCTTCAAAAAATTCTCAAGAAAATCATCTGCTAATTTATGACACAGGTTCTACAATGGGATCTTTTTTATTCTATTTTTTTTTCGAATTAATTATCTTTATAACGTTGGTCATTAATTTTTTTTCCTAGATTTCCTAGATAGAAATGTATATACTTCTGTTATGTAAATGACCCTGCATATTGTGGTTACTGATACAATTTGATTTTTTTTTAAATACATTTTTTATGTAGATTTACAATGTAAATGCAGCAATGAATTATAAACTATATAGCATGGCTTTATGTTTTAAAGAAAAAAAAATGTTATTCCAACTATTTTGTATTCAGAATTACCAACGCTTGGACAAATCATGAATATCAATGTATTGACATTTTATAATATATTCCCTGAAGGCATCGATTTCAGGTACCGTATCTGATAATTCTAAATTTTATCAAACTGGATGAAAACAGACATTTTATTATGTTATAGGCCCTCTACATGTACCTACAGATAGAGTACATAGGAATTTCCGGAATATATAGATTAGATAAATGGAAATAAAAATACACAAACAAATCCTTTGATTAATTTGACAAGTCTACTTTCATACTGTGCTTATTTTAACATGAATTTAACTATTTTAGAACAAACAAAAACCAACAGATAGTAAATTTATATATATTATTATTAAGGTGTTTATTAAACACTGAATTTAATAATTTTGATCTCCTTTCACAAATGACTTTTGTTATATATATCTCGAATGAATTTATTTGTAATATTTTTAATCCAACATAATTAATCTGGAAAATCTAATAAACTTTGCCGCGCAAAAATCAAAATTTGTATCAAAGTATTCAAAGTATATTTTTCTTGCTAAAGAAATGCACAGCTTTGTTTTCCTATTAATAGGATTAATAGATTGAAATTATTTCCCTTCATCTTTCTGTTTAATTCAAAGTAATGTAATTTTAGGGTCATTCCACATCAACTGTCCCAACGCTCCCAGTCAACCATCTCCAACCTTCATGAAATTTTGCATAGAAATAGCCCTTGGATCTAAACTAAACTGGGTAAAATATTAGACTATTAATATGCATTTGTTCACAAGTTACAGGCTTCATTCTACAGGCCATCTTGCTTGTTTTTTGAGATTGTATCAACAAAGGATGAAATTTAGCTGACTAGGACAACTTTTTGTGCCAAATCCAGTCGTGTAACTAAAAAAGCAATTGTAGTCAAACCTAAATTACTAATTGGTGCCAAAGTTGAGCAAAAAAGTCACTTTCTGAAATAATGACCATACTTAAGATGCTGCAATTTAAATCAGGCAATAATTTTCCCAAGAGTAGTCTGCATTAGTGCCTCTATGTGAGCTTAATTTCAAAAGTTCAGGAGTTGTGCTTCTGAAAGCAGAGGATGGCGAAAATGCAAAAAAAATATGCAAATTTTACCATATTTTTAGCAGCAAAAATCGGAATGTGGATCATCTTCAATTTTCTTCTTTTTTGTTTCATTTGAAAGACCATTGTTTCTTTTACCAAATTTATTGTTTTTCATTTTGTGCTCGGGCCTTCTAGATAAATAAATAGCTCATGTTTTCAAGGTTACTCCTCGCACGCAATGTATATAAGGCTGTTAAACGGGTAAGAGATACGAAGTAGCTTAAAAGGGAGTAAAGTTGCGTAATCAGGGGACCAACATTATGCCTCTTTTTGGAAATCCGCTTTTTTTTTCATTTCAGTCTTGTTTGAGGTGATACTGGGAAAAGAATAACACTTTCTCATGGCAACTGTTTGCCCTCTATCGAATGGCATAATCAATTTTTATATGTAACGTTTCGTTTCTCCAGGACCATCATCAACTTCATTTTTTTAAATATGACCCTAGAAATTTTATTACATTTTTTGCAGGCCTTCATGACCCCCAATACTGTATTGCCTCAGTCCAAACCAGATTCAGACGTTTTGTCACAAAAAATTCCTCATAAACGTATTCGTTCCAAATTTATCTAAATCTAACTGTCGTTAGACCCTGTGAAATCCACCTAGTTATTTAAACTATTACCATCACATGTTATAATAAAGTAAAAATGAGCTCACTATCTATGAATGAGAATAGCATATTGTGTAACAAGTGTAATTTCTCAAAAATTTAAAAAAGGAGAAATTTTTGCATAAGTTGTACACTCTTTTTCTAGTCACACTTTTTTACTTCTAGGTATAGAAATTATTATGTAATTACTGTATAAACCAATTTTTTTTTGTTGGTAGCGGTTTTTGTTAATTATAACAGATTAATATTTCAAGAAGTCAAATTTATTTGTTATTATTTTCTAATGCATTATTTTTAATATCAGAATAATTACTGTCCAATTTTATGCACATTAATTTGACACGAACTTACATTTGTCAGAGTTGTGAAAACATGTGCCATGTGAACACTACTACGTGATACGGATACTACGTGATTTGGGATAATCGTAACTAACGCTTTGTGCATACGTTTACAACTGATGCATAGAACCGTGCGGGAAAAGTCTTTGTGACACAATTATGTAACTTAACTTCAAGGTTATGTTACTTTTTTTGTCGTGTTTTAACTCTTGTGAGAAGCAAGTAAAGCGAAAAGCGTATTTTGAATAGTGGCCGAAGAAAAATAAAATTATTTACATGCTGTTTTTGGAATAAGCACATTTCTTATTCATTTTGAACAGCTGTGTAATCAAAAATGAAGATTTTGTGGTGTATAAATCTCTAGATAACTTTTAACTCTTAACTTTTTTAGTTAATTTATGACATACGATTAGCCATAAAAATTTACTGATAAATTGTATGTACATCCTATATAAAAAAGTAATGTGATTATGAAATATTTCATACGATGTCTGTCTTTATTTCAAAAATAAATAAGTTATTGAAATTTTAGGATGTTTTAAAAAATCATTTCAGTTGATACATTATAGAATCATTTCTACGAAAGGTTTCTTAAGACGTTAAGACGCGAATTGGAAATAAGTTCTGATAGAGCTAAGGTTTATATAACAAGAACTTATGTGTCCAATTTTAATAAAAAAGGCATTTAATCTTAGTTATAACAAAGCAAAAACGTTATATACTTAAATACAATTCAAGTAGTAGTATAAAATGAAAAAAAATGGATGAAGTAAAAAAAATTTCTACGTCAATATACATATTACGAATTGTAGATATTCAATAAGAAAGCGATGGGTATTTTTATCAAATATGATTGAGTACTGAACGGTAAAAATTTAATAGTGAAGACAGGCCGAAGAAACAGAAACAAAATTGTAATTTTATACAAAACTTTTGTCATGTTAAATCTTAACCTTCATAACTTTTCAAAAATAATATTTGCATTACCAAACTTTTTATTGCTGTTTCAACTAACTGACACAAATGAATAAAGCACAGAGTCGCTATAATTTTAAATTATAAAATTATATTACATAAATATTTTTTATATTAATTTAGTTAGCAAAGTAAGAATTTATTGAATTTAAAAAGATGCCATAAAAATCACTGTACCGTTCCGTTTTTGTATTATTTTGTAATGCGTTAAGTATATATGTGATTAAAAAAATAACAAATATGAATCATCCTCACCCAAAAGTATTTATATATTTTGGAAGTTTAAAATATAGTGAAAAGAGTTCACATACGTCTACTGACAATTGCCCTAAAGTGCGATAGAGCCCAATTTATAATAAAACTAACCTGTATCTCTGTCGAAACATTTTAGCGGCTTCTGCAAGTTTCAGCTTTGTCAGGAAATATTCAGCGTCAGTGACTACTGCTGCCTTATTTTCGATTTCAGTAATCAAATTGTTCACAAGTCCAGCAACGTACTGTTCATGCTGTAGATTGTCTGGTACAAGTTCTATTTCCGTGCTACACAATGAACCAAAGATTATGATACTTGATGTGAATATAAAATAAAATCAAACTTACCAGAATTTTTCTTCGATATATTGAGCAAGATAATGTCTTACTTCTATCGGAAAATGGTCACCATATATTGCTCTTATTTGCTGTAAACTTTCAGCAGGTAACTGCTGAGCCTTAGCCCAAAGAGACATGGTTATGTGTTGAAGCTAAAAGAGATGTAGTTTTAGAATGTTAAACAGCGTCAACATTTATGTATACACAAGCTTGTTTGAATAAACTGTTTAGATAGAGGCGTCCCTGCCCTTTACAAATGCAAAAATCAAATATTAATACTCAAGGTCATCTATCATTTCGCAACCTGGTGCCGGACTACATTAAAAAAAAGTTACATGTTTATTCACAGACAACAAACTGAATAAAATGGGAATATACACTAACCTTTTGGTAAAACGCCAACGATGCACTGACAATTTAATTAATATTATCACACATTTATTACAGATTTTGATGTAAATTATTTATTATGGGTACCACTTTTCCTCACACAACAGAATATATGCGCACATTCACGCAGCGGCCATTTCGATTTCGAATAAAACACTACCGTCACGTGACTGTTAAAGGGAGCCACACACTACGACGTGCCCTTTTTACTTTTTAATTCATTGAATGAATGAACCTGTAACCATTTTAAGTTAGATGGCATTCAAAATTAAGAATTTTTTTAAAACTCTTCAATTAATAACGGCATTTGTAATAGCTGGACAATTTATTCATGAATAAATTCACGAAGTTCTTCATGAATTTATTTGTAAACGGTTTGGTTTTGCACTGTTACAGACTTCGTGAATTTTTTTGACACATGAATCAGCCAGAATCAGCTCTACCAACAGAATCAAAGAAGCAAATAAATTTCAAAAATGTCACCTTTCCATTGATAATTGTAATAGTGCAACAGCGGTACCATTTTGATACATATATAAATATTAGTTTTTGTAAGTAACAAATCAGTAAAAACAATACAAAACTAGTACGACGACGCAAAATTATTTACATATTCCTTCTGAACTTCACGTTCAAGAAGAAATTGATAAAAATTAGTCAAGAACTTAATGAATAAATTCATGAAGTTATTTCACAGCAGATTTGGTGCATTACACTTGCTCAATTTCTTGATGAAGCGATTTCATGAATTAATTCATCAATAAATTATCATTGTAAAACGGCTTTAAGTTATAGTTCCTAGTGCCATATTTACTTACTAAAATTAAGGTTGATATGTGCATACTATATTTACACAATAATACTTACCTTCTTAATAAATACATTTTCCGTTCAATTAATTCATTACTATTCAAATTTTATCATATTCGTATTTCAAAGAATATAAAATCTGCAGTCAGTAACAGTAACCGCAAGAACGAATACCGAGAATAATATAAATCCGCGGTTGCACGTTTCTACGTAGAAATCTTAGAATTCAACGTAAAACGGGTACATGTGGGTAATTAAGGTACAAATCTGAATCATAGTATTTTATGTACCTATACATACATGGAAACAGGAACTTATTTCAAAATTCTTCACCGATTGGTTTATCAAATGAAGTTTCATTAAATCAAGTGGTTGTTAAATTATAAAACATTTTTGATTGGCTAAGCAAGTTTAATTAAATCGAGTTTAAATGTGTTTGAAATGTGACAATGAAAAAAACAAAAAACTTGACGTGTATGAATTACTTTATATATAGCTTCTGATCAAGTATTCATTTTTATTATATACTATCAATTACCTACAAAAGAATTTTTGTTTTTGTATTATTTTTCTAAGTTATATATAAATCTAAAACATTCGTGTTTTATACATGATAATAAACATGCATCATTGGCTATATCCCCATCACAGTATTAGGTACCCGTATCTTAAACAATTACTTTGCTATGGAATATGTTATGCTAAACAATTTGCATATCAGATGAGGCATCCTGGTATCGATGTTGTGATTCCACGGAAAAGTTGAAATTTATTCAATAAATATAAACGGACAATGGAAAATTGAAATTGCGCAATTTGCAGCGGGTGTGATCAGTAGTTTTTTATTGCAATTCTATAATCATTTATAAAGAGGTATTCTATTACTGTTATCACTTATCAGTTAAAACTCTGGGATTTTTTAGTTTTATTATTGGAATTAGAAAAACTAGAAAAGGTGATATAGGCGATATTTAGGGAGAAAATTTCATAGTAGATAATGAAGGCTCACATTTATTTACTAAATCGTTAGAGTTAGGTACCTTAGGTAGGTATTTCAACAAATTTTTTAAAATTAAATAAATCGGGAATTATGTACTTGTATAGACGCTACTCTTGAATGAATCATATCAAAAATGATGACCTAATAAGTAGCCACCAACAATTAATCACTGTGACTATATTACCTCCTATGACTTATACGCAGGAAAAAATTTAAAATCAACGTACCTATGATGAAATTAGATATTTATTATAATTTATCAACTTTCTTTTTTTATCTTTCACATGAAAGTAAATATTGGTAAATTTCAGCATGAAATGCTGCATTTTTTGTTCCGAATTTTGCGCTGCTTTTAAATAAAAAGTATAATTGGGAATTCCCATTCAACCGTGCAGGCGCCCATGCGATGTAGGTACGCGCTTGTTGGGGTAAACTCTGGGTATAAAATTCGACCAGAAAATTTTGACAAATGTGGATTTAAATTGGTTATTGATATTATATTTTTCGGATCAATTTGATGCCACATGAAAACAGAAAACATCAAAGCCATTCCCATCTTCTGTATTTGGCAACTATCGTATGAATTCTATTTTTTAGGAATTTTTGCGCCACTGAATTTTCCGTTTTATTAATACATGAAATGATTTAATATTGAGCCCACATTTACGTTTATCCATATGAGTAAATAAATATTTATATACAGGGTTATTTCACTTTAAATGCAGAAACTGCAGGACTCGCCACCGCCATTACTCCAATTGGCCTCAATGATTTGGGATCAAGGGGGATTATCCCTCTTTATCCTACCTCATCTCCTGTAGGCCTGGACAGCCTGCCTACCCCGACCGCAAATGCGGCCGGCGTAGGCGCTTTGTGGGACCTCCTTTTGTCCTGGCTGGGCCCCGCCGGCTAGGGCCCTTTCTTCTGGCGCTCTTCTTGCTTCGCCGGCTCGTCTTTGTAAACCCCGGGGGTGGTGTCATGTTTATGTGTGGTATGGTTGGGTAGGGTAGTGCGGCTATGCAGCCTGGGATGCGCTTTGCTAAGGTGGCCCTTAGGCTAGCGTGGGTGGGGAGGGGAAAGGAGGGTATGGGACTAGATTCATTACCAAAAAATAAGAGATTGTTCTATAAACTTTTTTCCTGCGGGACTCTGTAATCAAGATATAGGGTGTTGAAGTTTACAAAAAAATATTTTTTCTTCCATAATTCATAATGTGCTGACGGAATTGAATGAAATTTACTACAGAGTATTCACTTACTTACATGTTTTATTGAATGTAATATTAATGTTGTGGCTTTAACCAGTGGTGTGCTACTGGAGGTGCCATTCCATTTTATCCAAAAAAAAAAGTACGTCACTGGCGGTTTTTTGTAGAAATAATGTTACGTTCCGGCACTGTTACGTTAAATGAATGAAAATGATTCTTTTTTTTTAATAGTAGCAGCTGTTTAGGAGATATTTGGGCTCGTTTTTACGTTTTATTGAATATTCCTAATAAATTACTGTTTATTTGATGAAATGTGAATACGCTGTAGGAAATTTCATTCAAATTGTTCAGCACAATATGAGATGAGAAAATATAATTTTTTTGGAAACTTGAGCACGTCCCCCAGGAAAAAAGTTATAGAGCAAACTCTACTTATTTTTTGGCAACTAATCTATTCCTGCAGTTTCTGTATTTAAAGTGAAATCACTCTGTATATTTATTTACTCACATGCTTGACAACTGAGGAGCTAGATAATTTTAAACAANTCATGTTTATGTGTGGTATGGTTGGGTAGGGTAGTGCGGCTATGCAGCCTGGGATGCGCTTTGCTAAGGTGGCCCTTAGGATAGCGCGGGTGGGGAGGGGAAAGGAGGGTATGGGACTAGATTCATTAACAAAAAATAATTAGAGTTTGTTCTATAAACTTTTTTCCTGCGGGACTCTGTAATCAAGATACAGGGTGTTGAAGTTTACAAAAAAATATTTTTTCTTCCATAATTCATAATGTGCTGACGGAATTGAATGAAATTTACTACAGAGTATTCATTTACTTAGATGTTTTATTTAATGTAATATTAATGTTGTGGCTTTAACCAGTGGTGTGCTACTGGAGGTGCCATCCCATTTTCTCCAAAAAAAAGTACGCCACTGGCGGTTTTTTGTAGAAATAATGTTACGTTCCGGCACTGTTACGTTAAATGAATGAAAAATGATTCTTTTTTTTTAATAGTAGCAGCTGTTTAGGAGATATTTGGGCTTGTTTTTACGATTTATTGAATATTCCTAATAAATTACTGTTTATTTGATGAAAAGTGAATACGCTGTAGGAAATTTCATTCAAATCGTTCAGCACAATACGGATATGAGAAAATATAATTTTTTTGAAAACTTGAGCACGTCCCCCAGGAAAAAAGTTATAGAGCAAACTCTACTTATTTTTTGGCAACTAATCTATTCCTGCAGTTTCTGTATTTAAAGTGAAATCACTCTGTATATTTATTTACTCACATGCTTGACAACTGAGGAGCTAGATAATTTTAAACAATTACAGTCATTATTTGTTCTCAGTTTGCTATGAAATATTTATATGAAGTTGTATTATTTAAAAGTGGTATTTTTTCTACATTTTTTTTTAACAATAGGTTTGACAATATTTGCAAAATTATATCAAAACGTTTACACAGTTATTATCGATGTCAAAAAATCTTTTTGAACCCTAAACTTCAAAGTATACAAAAAACCATTCTAAAAATTTTTTCAAAACAATTCAACTGATAATTAATTATGACGTGTTTATGTGTATGTAAATTCTTATCACTTTTAATGTCCGGGTATTTTGTATGTTAGTAGAAAAATATTTTGGATGTAATAATCACATGCTTTCACTAACCGTTAAGGTTATCAACAAATTGGTTTAAAAATAGTGTAAAATGCAGAATAATTATTAATCTAATGAAGATATTTTGAATTTATTTTATACGCGGACATTCACCATAAATCAGTATTTGCTGCATTTCTGATTTGGTATTTTGCAAAATTTGAAGAATTGGACTTGAATGAAACTCAACCATTTACATACAATAGCAAATGGTTAGATTTATGTACAGGGAAGCTTTAACAATTTTGATTTATTTTTATTTTATCTTGTCGATAATGCAATAATATATAGGATGTTTGATTTAAAATAACGGAGTTGACAGCTACTTCCGGTATAATGATAACCCCCGTAAACAAAATTTCAGAGTGATATTGTCTTTGGTTCCTCTGAAATGTTTAATAGACCACTTACCGTGAAGAACAGTGTATAATGGGTTAATAAAAGAAATTATAATCAAAGTGCATCATTACTTTGAAATCGAAAAGGAAAATGGTCTGGAAGTATATTGAAAAGAACAGCGAAAGTTGGGCATATTATCTGGTAAGTAATATGTAAAAGGTTTTAGTAGATTAGTCAGTGAAACAAAAAAGTGATGATACATATAAATAAAACCCTGCATCAGAAAGATCAGTAAATATCAGATGAAATTGCGACCCAAAATGCCAAATTTTAACTTTTTTTCTTTGTCCACCTTTGATTAAGACCCTGTATAGAATAATATCTGAAAAAGGATTGCTTGTTATTTATGTTTTTAATTGACAATATATTGAGTTTTAGGGATAAAAAATCGACTATTCTATTTTAAATTTATTTCTTAATACGGGACTCTCTGAATATCAGAAGTATTTTAAAACAAGAATTTCCTTTTTCTATAAGATGAAAAATAAAAAATTTTTTCCATTTTGTATTTTCATCAATATTTTCCGATAAAACAATTTATATACAAAACTGTTTAGAATGAACGGGAAAAAGAGAAGGGTGTTACTAAATACCTTAAAATACATCACATTTATTAAAAAAAAAATCTGTAACAACCCGATAACAATTTAATAAATAACTTTCTGTTCGAAGCAGTACAATAGTACAATATAAATAATCATTTAATAAAAAATACCTAAAAAAATATTTTAATTGACACAGTATTTAATGCATTTCAATTAATATCAATTTATTCTATGTACAACTTACTTCTATATTTCACTAAAATGTTCCGTAAGAAAACTTTAACATTATCATATGTTGCATAACTAATCCCAACGGCTATTGGACCTTTTATCCAATTCATTGACAGACCCTTATAGAAACCCTTTCTTATACCTTCGTTCCTAAAACCAAAATTAAAAGTTTTTTATTGAATTATGGGATTCATCTTTTCTGTAATTCCAAATATGGTTTAAAATGTAGTAAACTTAAATCGCAATTTTGTATCATTTCAGTATTGGTAATTCTTTTTTTTCGGTTGGAGTTTTCTTTTTATCCTGACAGAACCCAAAAAAATTATTAATTTTTCAAATATTTTATTCAATAAAAAATAACGAAAATAAAAAAAAAACTTATTTTTTAATGTAGATAAGTCCATCATTCTATTTATTAATAAAAAAACATTTAACAATATATTATGATGGATTCTGATGGATTTCAGTCATTCACAAAACTAAATTTTTTTAGAATAGTATTAAAGCATTAAACTTGCTATTCAAGTCCATTTTCCTATAAGTGTCCTGTTTTTTGAACCCTCTGAACAACATAAATAAACTGAAAAGCTGCATGATAAAATCACAACAAAAAACATGCAACATACAATCGCGATGCTACGACAGCATATTGGTGATATTCCCCGTATACGAATATCTTAACAATTAATTAATCACTGCTGTAAATACGAGTCAATTTAAACATCTATATAATGTAGAGTATCATTTAAAATTCAAATCATCAGTACTTTTAAGAGGAAGACTAAATAAAACAAAAAAAAAACAATTGCTATTCTATGATAACATAACTAATTTCAAAATTAAGTGATTAAGATTTCTTTAAGAAGTGTAATTATTTCTAATAGCAAATATCTTTGAGATTTTGAAGAAAAAATTGTTTGTCAAGTTCTACGTTGGATTAAAAGGAAAATCCCCACTTAATAGTCACTCTTTATAGTAAAATAAGGCTTATGGACTTGAAAGAGATTTATTAGACAAAGAAAAAATTTATTTTTCTTTTATTAGAACTTGACGTAAAAAATGCTTAATTTTATCATAAGTACAAAAACTAATTCCAACAGCTATAGCCCCGTTAATCCAACCCATAGTAACACCTTTATAAAAACCAGAACGAAAACCTTGGTACCTAAAAAATATTTAAAATTAATATCGATGTATTCAAAATAGTGGTGCCCGGCTCAACGATACTAACCCATTCTTCTAAATCGTCAATATATTCAAAATCGATTGCAAATATGTAACTTATTCCCTTCTGCCGTTTCTCAAATAAGGATGGAAGCTAGACAAAGAAACTACATAGTTTCAAAGATATTAATTACCTGTAAACATAAACAAGCGTATGAAAAATGCTTTTATATTTGCCAGACGAGTCCGTCTGCATCCGCCTCCTAATAATATCCAACGGATAACTGCTGGACTGTCCCAGTAAACCGGCTACTGCTCCAAACCCTAAAGAAGCGATGGCAGGAGGATTATGACTACTGTCTATACGCTCTACAACATAATTACTTGATTTTACCTAAAAAATCGGACTTGCCAAAACGTGTCGACACATATTCTTTTTTATCATAAAAACCCCAAAAACCTTCAATTAGTAAAATAAACATGAAATAGAAAATTAGTTTTGAATTTCAATCAACCTATTCAAACTTATTCACTTATAAAGGGTGAGTTAAATTTAAGTATGATAGTAATTTTGAAAACAATACTTGCATAAACATTTTTCCGAAAAGATAAACAAGATTAAAAAATATATACAGGGTGTAACCTAAGTACGTAAAAATATTTATGTGGGGTATTCCGGAGTTCCTAAGAAAAAAGTTTATATAAACCTTTGTCCGAAACTGCTTTCTTTCTTTCTGAGATACAGGGCGTTGAAATGAAAAAATACTCTCGGTATCTCGGAGAGTATTTTTGAAAAAAACCGTTCATATAAAAGACCATATTTATTTCCAAAAGTACTGCCACAAACTTCTGGTTCCAAAGTTAAATCTGACTCACTCTGTGTATAGTATATTTTTGGGGTTCTCAAGATAAGGAAGTTCCGTTAATGTAAAGCATACCTCTAAATAATCTCTTCAAAGTATCGTAAGTAAAAAAAGAAACACCGGCATATATTACGACACCTCCCATCGTGGGTATATATCCTCGGTAAAAAGTCATTAGTCCTTCAGTATAATATATTTTAACGAAAACCTAAAACGACAGAGTGTAATTATAACAACAAGCTGGTGAAAATTAAAATGGTTAATTAATTACGGTGGTTAAAGTGGTTAAATAATGAAGAGACATTTCTAACCCTCAGATCACCAAATATAATTACATACAAAACCTTTTTTTTTTTGATAACATTTTTCTTCACGTTGAACATTATGAAGCTTGAAAAAGGAATATCTATCACTCGGTTATGAAAAAATATTTTGTGCATATATCGAAGGTTTCTTGCCAGAAGGGCGTATCAACCAAAACATTATTTTTCAGGAACTAATAAAAACGTTTCAAAAATCAGTAGTAAAATTTAAAAGTTTGTATTACCTTATGTAACTGTTGATTAGTATATTTATCACATATTATTATCTGCTTAGCGAATTATTTGAGAACAACAGGTACAAACTTGACTAAGTACTTTAACTTGTAACTGAAGAGTAACCGTATGTAAACACAACAGAAAAATTGAGGTTATGAACGCCAACTAACTCAACGCATACTCGTGAATGCCATGAAATTTTGTCATGCCAGAAAGCCATATGTTCATACGACCTAGAAAATATATGTACAGTTTCGTTACAAAGGGACGTATACATACAACCTTGTGCCAGGTTAATCAAGGTAATAATTGTTCGTTCGGCCAAAAAAAGGATTGCATGGCGCTGTTATTATTGGTGGGCTAGGTAGATACGACCTTTTGTCGCGACAAATTTATAGTATTGAGTATCAAAGCTAGCTCATAAACCCAAAATGGCATTTTTGCGGATACGTCCTTTTGGCAGGAAATCCTTGATATGTACCGGGTGGCCAACTAAGAATGATCGCCGGCCATATCTCAGAAACGATTTATCGCACAGCTTTAGGAATAAAATTACAATGACAAAAGTGGCACGACTAATTAGAAAATTGGGATTTTCTCCATATTTTATTGAATTAAGGGGTATTGAAAATATATGCAGTGTAATCCTTAAACAATGTCGACTATTTTTTGTGTAACACTTTTTGTTCTATCTCCAACAATAAAGTGGTGGGGAGACTTCAAAACAAATTTTTTTTATATGCCGATTACTCCAGTTAGCCCTAATGGAATTTAACAAATTTGGTCTCGTTGCAAAGAGCATTCTTTAATCTATATCGACTGCATTTTAAGCTATTTTTATTTAAAGATTACCGTCGCCGCTAGGGGGCGTTATATGATATGCTTACAAATTTTTCTTAGAAAAATCAAATGGAATGGTATGTTTGTTTTTACACGATGATATAGAGCATTGAAGGCGTAAGACATCAGTGAAAACCGCAACTCAATATCTTTCCTCTAAGAGTAGACACAAAGTGTTAAACAAAAAAAAATCAACGTTGTTTAAGGATTGCACTGCATATATTTTAAATAACCCTTAATTCAGTAAAATATTTAGAAAATCCCAATTTTTCATTTAGTCGTGGCTGTTATGTCTCCCAGCAGCCATTTTAGAAACTAGCAAACATTTTCTAACAATTTTTTAGGGCCACTTTCCTCAATGTAATTTTTTTCCTAAAGCTGTGCAATGATTCGTTTCTGCCGTTCTTAGTTGGCCACCATAGAAATGTTTTCGAAATCTCAAAAGTCGACAATCCCTATTATAAATTTTTATTTCACAAATTTTGTTAGAAATATTTTCATCATGAATCGTCTCTTAAAAAATGGTATGTGTCCCACACTTCAATATCAAAATAAAGCTCTTTTAATTTTTACCAACCCACACTAGTACCTGTCTGGTAAAAAATGGCACAATCATGTTTTATTTTAATTTTAAAGGCTGTGCGGAAGGAGGCTACACTTGAAAAATGCGGACAATCTGATAGATTTTTTCCTGAATTCAATATTATACGATACCGTAAAACGTGGTGTATAGGGACAGTCCGCCAACTTTATGAAGATGTTGCGGCTTTACTTTTTATTTTAATATTAGTTTCTGTGGGGCAAAAGTCCGAACATGGTGTGTACTTTTCATACCCAAATAATGGCATTTAAAAAAAAATGTTAAATGATAGTTTTTTTTAAAAAACTGCGTTGTCCCTTTTCGCCTGGAAATGTGGTGATTAGGGACGGTCATGTTATTCAGCCGTTATTCTCATTTAAATGCAGCTGAGGTGTAAAGGGACAACATTTAGAAAAAAATATATCGTGTGATACCATTAAAATTCAATATAACATATTTATTTTGTTAAACTCTTATAAAAATACAACAGGAAAACTAAAAAACACTCTTTTAAAGATTTGTAAACATAAAAACTAATCTCTAAAAGGAACATTCTCATAATACTGAAACTGCTTAATCCTAAATTAATTGAAAGTCGTTGGTATCCACATTCTGGAATGTGTATAATCCACGTCTTTCTTTAAAAAATTGTAATTTTTTGATGATCTGTTTCTTATTAAACTCTGCATCATCCGGTGTATTGGGATAATAGTAAACGGGACCAGGTTTGCCTTTATTACTTTCTTTTTTTCGTAAAAAAGAGCCAACAAAAAACGAACAACTTTTCTACCCAATTTGTCTAAATAATCTTTGACGATCAATCTTAGGTCATAACTATCGATTGGATAACCCCAATCAGAACATGTGTTTATGTTTCTAATCAGTAAATCCTCTTCTTCATTGTTTAAAACCGTCTGACCTCCTTGTTTCTTTACATTTCCTTTCTTGTGTCGACATAAAACTGACCTAGGGATACCATGAAACTTTTCTGCGTTACGATAAGTCATTTTTCGTGCTGTAATGTCTTATAGGGCAGCTTGAATTTTTTCTGGCTCATAATGGTGATACAATTTCTTTCCTTAAGGAGTATAAAAGCGAGGCATGTCTGTTTTGCCGGTGTCCCTAATCACCCCGACCTAACGTAAAAAGTGCCCGATTCATTAAAAAAAATAAATAAAAATTTATGTTAAAAATTTAAGTAAGAATTACATTTTATTTCGGCACAGGACTGTCTTAGGTCTAATTATTTCCAATATGGTATTATTTTACTTATTTTTTCTATCAGTTACCACCAACACTCTCCGGTCTTTGAAAACAGCTGATTTCCAACTGACGTAATTCAGCCGATGTCATATGTCAAATTTGATTTTTGACGGGGAATTCAGTAGCGTCACAGTTAAAACACATATTTAGGAGTCAACTTGACAAGTGGTTGCGATTCGAATGACTTTTATAAATAAACTAAAAAATATATTGTATAAAAAAAAAGGTTTGTCCCGACTCACCTGGAAGTCCCTAGGTAACTTGATTGTTGTGAAGAAAAGCACGCAAAATAATTAATTAATAATTAATCGCAATATTCCAACAAAATTATCAAATGTGCCATGAAAACATCAAACCATCATAGAAAATTAATTTGAGGTTACATTTGCAAACACATTATTATCACGTTATGCGAAATGTCACATAACGTGATAATGTTCGTAGTAATTTTCAAGCCAGTAATGCAGATCTTTATTATTGTATCAAAAATTGTATTTACTATTTACAGAATTTTCTACGAGACACACGGTAATAACACCTACTTGTCTTAATGTGGCATATTCGTGTTTATGTGTTACAGCCATCCGGGCCCTGGCTAAGTCGAGGGGGTATGTGAGTGACTGCGAAGTGACTCCAGCTAAGGAACCAGCTAGGAACAATTTGCCTGGAGTTTTTCTATAATAACAAACATCACTTGTTAATAAAAACAAATAACATGTTAGAAAAAAACCAAGCTTACCCAGACTGATCGACTTTCAACACCCTTTTCCACTGTTCGTGCGCAGTGAACTGAATAGCAGCATGCGGTACGATACGTGCCATAGTGGCACTGTTTCCCCTCCATAGCGCAAAGAATCCCTCCTTTTTAAAAGTTTCCAGGAGGAATTTGAATGCCTTTCTCGTTGAATATGGCTTGTGGCTACAAAAATATAATAGCCGAGTTACGTCATCAAAATTAACTTACGTCTTCGTTGCACCTTCAAATGCAATATATGCATATTTTCAACAAAACGCAAAGTTTCAATGATCTACATCAACATCTACATATATTTAGAGGTATTTATGTTTTTCTGATATTCATGGGAACTTTTCCAACTATTTAATTTTTCCCAACCATTAGTGGGACACCCTGTATACTACAATGTAACAATTTTGAAAGAGGGTGACTTACCCAATTTGAAAATTAATTTTTGTTCTATCAAGGGGAGCTATAGTGGTTTTTGCGAGGGCACCAGCGATAGCCCCAGCAACCAGACTAGTCAAAACGATTTGTGTATTGTTCAGTTTATTTGTGTGTGGATCGTGATGGGCAGTTTTTGCCATATTGGAAGACTATGTCATCAAGATGTTATTGTCATACTAATCTAAAATATAAAAAACAGAATAAAAAGAGTGTAAAAACATACTAAATTTGATAAGAATACAAATACTAGGATTACCTCATGGTAAAACGGACAGACCAATAGAACTTTAACAAAGTTCAAAGTACAGTTTGCACTTTTTACCAAAAGAAAAATACGAGTAGGTAATCCATTTAATGCTGGCAAGCAGCCATGTAACTTTGCAATTAATGCAGTAACCTGTGCAGCACAACACAGTAAAACTTTAAAAATACTCAATAGTATAAATAATCAAACTATATATTCTGAGCTTAATGTTAACATACTTATCTTGAACACTTTTTCTTGTTAAAAGTCATTTAAATTCCGATTTAAATAAATTAAATTGCAATTAACCTAATGTCCTATGTGGATGATAAATGTGTATACATATAAACAGTAAACACAAACATTATCAGCTGTTTGTTGCAAAATAATTTGTATCACTGTACATTTACAGTTTCCCACCTGTTGGTAAGTTCACAAAACATTTTAATCAGTTGTACCTGACGTGTCATTGTACACCTAGGTGTTTTTGCCTTTTCTATACTGCCAGTTTTTAATTCTGATATCTAAAGATGGTAAGTTTTAAGACATAGTAATTCAAAGTTGACTCTTGCTGTTTACACATGTTTAATTACTTTCAGGCACGCTACTTCAAGGAAAAGGACATAGATGGTATGTATGTTATTTGAGATTATAATATAATCTCACTGATTATCTAAAAATACTGTGCTCGAATTAGTTAGGAACAAGGTTCAAGCAATAAAGGACAAATATTTAACGTAAACTTTAATGAAAATTTAATGAATTGCGTAAAATGGTAACTTAAGGTACATAATAGATAAGATAAAATTTTTATGAATTTTATTTGCAATTCATGTTTTGTATAGAAAACTGATTTCAACGGATTTACTTAAAGCTTGCATGGAATGCTCCATTGTAAACAAAATTTGTATAGAATATTAGTTACAATGTCCAAATTCATAATTTATTACTCTTATTTCTTGCTCCCAATTGTCTACTCTTTCAATCGCAGTAATCAGTTACAATAGAATTTATTTTCAGAATTCAGGGAATGTTTCTACCTATTTGCTCGTTCCGGACATATAAAATCTTTAGATGAACTTACAGTAATAATGAGAAGCTTAGGCCTATCCCCAACGATCTCTGAAATGACGGGATATTTAAAACAAAAGGTAATTATATCCTACTACGAAGCAAACAAGATACACACTACCACTAATTTTTTTCTCATATCAGAAACCACAAACTTTTCTTTCTCATGTTACAAAAACTGGATTCATCATTTTATGTAATTTATTTTACATACCTAGGCATTAAAATAACTGTTTTATAATTAATAGAAAAATACTATGCACATCCATTCACATTTATTGGTATCTAAGTTGAATAATAAATTATTACTGTTAAGTACAGCTATTTTTCTATAAAAATTGTTTAGAATTTTTTTATCAATTGATAAAAAGATTAGTAATTGATTTCATTCCCTTTGATCTAACAATCAATGTTTTACAGGTGAAAATACCCTCTTGATATTTTTTTACCATTAATGGGTTCTTGATGAATAGTTTCCATTCAAAAAACAATATATGTATATTAATTAATTAATGCAGAATATTGGTGACATACATAACATAATAGAATGACACTCCAAATTTGTTTAATAATCATGGTTATTATCGAAAATAATTGCACAATTTTATTTTTGCACCTTTTGACCCTGAATGTGCTAAGAGAGCTGATATCTCCAGTAATGAGAGTCTGGACATTATTTGTTTAATTGAATGGGAATATGATAATTTTTCTCTTAATTTACGTGCCTTTATAATTTAATGATGAAATTTTTTGATTTAGGGTGGGAAAATGAGTTTTGCAGATTTTCTAGAAGTAATGCATATACACTCAAGAGTAGAAAACCTTCCGAAAGAAGTTGTGGATGCATTTACAGCAGCTGACACGGAGGGCAAAGGAGTCATTCCGGCAAAGCAACTCCGACACCTACTTCAAAATTGGGGTGAATGTTTGTCAGTTAAAGAGGTGGACAGAATTTTTCGTGAGGCAAACGTTGACAATCATAGTATGGTACGATATGAAGATTTTGTTAAGATTGCTTGTGCCCCAGTTCCTGACTATTATTAATTTATTAATTCATTATTGTGTAATCATATCACATTTTGCAGAATGGTATTTAAATGTTACATATCGACTTACCTGTATTTTTAAAATTGTGGTGAATTTAGTTTATTACATAAGATTTATTATTGCATGTAAGCACCATTATTTTAATTGCACTATTTCTTGAAATAAAAATTATGTAAAAATCAGATTAAATGTCAAAAAACATATTTGTAGTTTGTACTAGATTTTTTCGGATATAGTAATATTTGAAGTTGCAGTTGCGAGTTACAAACTATAAGCACAGCATATAAAACAATCAGCAGTCTAGGTTTCGGGCGGCACCTTTGATCTATTGAAATTCAGTGTGTGACGTCAGCGACAGCCATTTGAGGCTAGAGAACAGGGCCTGATTAGGGATATTTGCAATTTTTACTCTCCTCGTTCAGGACTGTATTATCGATATTTATATAAACATATTTTCTAAAAATGTATAAGCCGCTTAACAAACNTTTTTCTCTTAATTTACGTGCCTTTATAATTTAATGATGAAATTTTTTGATTTAGGGTGGGAAAATGAGTTTTGCAGATTTTCTAGAAGTAATGCATATACACTCAAGAGTAGAAAACCTTCCGAAAGAAGTTGTGGATGCATTTACAGCAGCTGACACGGAGGGCAAAGGAGTCATTCCGGCAAAGCAACTCCGACACCTACTTCAAAATTGGGGTGAATGTTTGTCAGTTAAAGAGGTGGACAGAATTTTTCGTGAGGCAAACGTTGACAATCATAGTATGGTACGATATGAAGATTTTGTTAAGATTGCTTGTGCCCCAGTTCCTGACTATTATTAATTTATTAATTCATTATTGTGTAATCATATCACATTTTGCAGAATGGTATTTAAATGTTACATATCGACTTACCTGTATTTTTAAAATTGTGGTGAATTTAGTTTATTACATAAGATTTATTATTGCATGTAAGCACCATTATTTTAATTGCACTATTTCTTGAAATAAAAATTATGTAAAAATCAGATTAAATGTCAAAAACATATTTGTAGTTTGTACTAGATTTTTTCGGATATAGTAATATTTGAAGTTGCAGTTGCGAGTTACAAACTATAAGCACAGATTCCCCTCGATCCCAAATCATTGAGGCCAATTTCTAGCCATAGAATAATGGCGCGGTTATATAAGTTCAGATTGGAGACTGGTTTTCACATAGTTCGAATTAAACCGTGGGCGTGGGTCCGTTCTGTAATTAGCAGTAGAATTTTAGTAAAACGCACTAATATTATACTACTGAGCTAATTACGGAACGCATACCGTAAACATGAACAGTTCCAGCAGTTAGCACAGTTTGATATATTTTTAATCTTTGGAATTTCATATTATAGTCGCTTATTATCATATGTATCATACTTAAAAGATTTGTTATGCACACAGAACGTGATATGCGGGATCACAAACTTTTACTCTTCAACTATTCACTATTCAGTGATCAATCTTTACTTGAATTAAAGTGAATACGCCTAGTTTTGATTTTTGAAATATCAAAATTTTGAAAGCTCTGTCCTCTGTCAAATGTCAAATATCAAATTTTGTAAACAGCGAAAGGCGTCTTTTAGGTTACCGGAAAACGTTTGCAAGCGTTTTATAATTTCTAAATAATTATTTATATATTTATATAATAGTATATAATTAAAAACAATTACAATGTCGACTGCTATGCCAATAAACCCTAAACCTTTTCTAAATAGTCTCACTGGTAAAGCTGTGATGGTGAAGTTGAAATGGGGCCACGAATACAAAGGTTATTTGGTATCTGTGGATGGTTATATGAATCTACAGCTAGCAAATACTGAGGAATATATTGATGGCAGTTCAACAGGTACTAATTTAGGTAAAATTATCAAAAATTACAAAATTGTTTTTAGGAAACCTGGGTGAAGTACTAATCCGATGCAATAATATATTGTTTATTCGTGGTGCTGAGGAAGAGGATGAAGAAGGAGAGACAAGAGACTAGATTTAATATCTTTAACTATACAAATGTGTGTGCTCAGGGTTTGTCCTTGAATAGATTGAAGTTCCGTTTTCGACATGTTAATTTCCAACACAATTCTTATTGTGAATACGCGTTTTTATTAAGTCTATAGACTGTAATTATTGTAGTTTAAAAAGTTTATTTTGTCAAATAAGTAAATTTTGGTAAATAGTTATTCATTGTAATTTAAATTTTTTTTAATCAAATTTAATTTCATCAATTATTTATTACAAGCACATAAATGTATTTTTCCAAGTTGCTATAAAATATCTAATTTAATTATCATTTTTTATTTGGGTTTGACGTTCTGTATAATAGATAAGTGTGGGGTCCATATAATTCGTTCAAGTTATGCGAATTACTTACTGCTATGATTCGTTTGAAATTGACATAATGCGTATTATGTATGAAACCTGTGCCAGTAGATTTACAAGTACTGAAATTCATTATTCAGCAGAATATTACTAATGTACAATTGGAACAACAAGGATAATATTCAAATTTCATCATGTATGATACGTCATTATGTTGATATGGTTTTTTATATTTAATTGAAATGAAAATTTTACGCTTTCCAAAGAATAAATATGTGACTAACTGTCAATTTTTCTTTATAAAATAGAGCTCTGTATTAAAGTAAGCACACAATATTCAGTAATATTATTATTAGAGAGTAAATTCATATGCATTATTCATGTTTATTGCTTTTTTTAAGAATTGATAACATATACGTTTAGGTAAATTAAGATCCGTACCGTACATAAAAAATATAAAAAAAATTATTCGATACAATCCATTGATACGAATCTTTTGGTTCTAATATTTTTTAAAATTATTCCGACAATACTAACACAATTCCTATGTGTAAGTCAGCAACATAAAGAACAGCATCTTGTATACGTGGTTGCATAAGCTGGTAAGAAGACATTTTACAATTGTACAAGAAATGTAATAAAGTATGTATTGTGAAAGATATACTTATATTAAGGTGAACTTTCAAATTCGTTATGAATTATTAAGTATTAGCTTGCGAGTAAAATGCAATATAATATTACAATCCGTACAATCGTATCTGTTGAGACAGAATTCCAAGAAAATAATAAACCAATGAAGTTCTGTTCTGTTATCGGAACTACTGTAACAATTTACCGCGTGCCTTGAAATTTTCCGCTAATGTCTTTCTAACAAAACCATAGACCACCACCGAAACGGACGGCATATCAGCGGTATTACAAAAAATTCAGCGAGAACAGTGGAAACACCCAAATTTGGTTTGACGAAATATACTGGGTGTCCGTAAATTTCACCAACAACGTTTGACTGTATATTCGCGACAATAAATAGATACGCCCTACGAAAAAAATTTTAAATAAAAAATTTTGGTTTTTGACTTACAGGCCCTCAAAGTTGTCAAAAATAAACTAATTTAATTAATAACTTCATCACCCTTTTATCGATCGCGTTAAAATGTGACACATTTATTTGGACTATTATGGCGTATTATTTATTAAAGCTTTAGTGAAATCGATATACTGGATGATAGTTTTCTCCGGTTACCTCTCCCTTTTAGCGGTTAAAACTCTTACAGTGGTCATATTTGTTTTTAACGGGCAGCAAGATCGTATTATTAAAAAAAAAGTTGTCTCTAGAGAAAATCGACTACAGGAAACCATTCTTGAGAAAAATCGCATTATTTGCAGGTCTGTATGTTTCGGTTTGCGTAGCAGTGCCACGGATTTAAAATTGAATTCAGGAGGCGATGGAAACAATATGTTGATTGCTATGGCTATCAGGTAATGTCAGTATCGTCATTTGCTCTAAGTGACAGCGTATTATTGTTATCCCAGTTTCATTTTAATATTAATTGATTTTGCAATTTTTTAAATTCGCTAGTTGCTGAATGGCTTCGCTGAAGATAACAATTTGCTTCAAAAATTGTTTTTTACCGATTGACGATTCTTGTTTTACAAGAAACGGAGTTGTACATTTTCATAACATGCAAGTGTGGAGTTATGAAAATCTCAAAGAAACACGACAATAATGGACACATTACCACCTGATAGCCACAGCAATCAATATTTTGTTTTCATCGCCTACTGTACTCAAAGTTTTAAATCCGTACAGAACTGCAAATAATGTCATTTGCCTCAGCAATGGCTTCTGTAGGCGATTTTCTCAAGAGAAAATTTTTGTTTAAATAAAACGATCTTTTCAATGTTTAAAAATCGTTTAAAAAAATACGACCACTGTAATCGTTAAAAAGGAGAGGTAACCGAAGAAAACTATAGATTTGACTAAAGCTTTAAGAAATAATACGCCATAAAGCCGGGTTCAGACGCTACGTTCTGCACAACGTTTTACCTGCGCAGACATAAAACGGAATGAAAGCGTTGCAAATCAAGAGCGTCCACACAGTGCAGATATGTTTGTATTTATTTACTCAGTTTTTTTTTATTTTATAACTGTATCTATTTGCTACAGTTTCGACTACTTTGAATTTTTCGATTAAAATTTCGCATGCCTGCCTCTTTTTGTTTCTGTCACTACATTCCTTTGATTTCGCATGCCAAAGAAACTTTTATACAAGTAAATAAATTCTGTCAAAAACTCACGGGAATATTGACAAAAGTATGCCATTTTACTACAATTTACCTATTCAAATAGGAAAACGTATTACAAAACGGAGCAAACGTCTACACGCACTGTCTTATTTGCGCAGTTGGTGGATTACTATGCTCGTCTCAGTTTTCCCGTACCGTGTACCGTCTCCGCACAGTTCTCAAAACTGCATAGTTTTCCTGTCCACAAGCAACGTCTTGTCTCCAACATCTTGAACTGCGCAGGTAAAACGTTGTCTAGCGTCTAGACCCGGCTTAATATAGTCAAAATAAATGTGTCAAATTTTAACGCGATCAGTAAAGGGTTATGAAGTTATTAAATTAAATGAATTTTATTTCTGACAAATTTGAAGGTCTATAACTCAAAAACCAAAAAGTTTTTATTTAATTTTTTTTCGTAGATCGTATTTATTTATTGGCGTGAAATTTGTGGACACCCTGTATATGATTTATTGAAGTATTTATTTTTTTGAATATGACTAAATGGTTAAAATAATTAATAGAGTAACGCATTTTGAAATACGTCTGTAATCTGTTCATTATTTTAATTTAACGATGCGGCTAACGTGCGATGAAAGTTTCAATAGTTTTTTTGCAACTGTTGCTGGGTGAAATTAAAATCGTCACGAATGATATTGACATTGAAAATGATTTTATTAAAAATGAGAGCCGCATGTCGATTGATAAGAAAGTTATACACGTCATAAAGATTCGGTTCATTAAACTAAATTGTTACTTTCTTGAGGAATTTTTAAAATGCTAGCAATAAAACATCAATCATCACCACAGATAACATATCGAGACATGCAGTCCCAATTACTAGCTTAAGTTAGCAGCGCGACGTTATAATTTTCAGATTTCCAAACTTTGTAGCAATGAAAAAAAATTAAAAATAACTTAAATGGGATGGTACAATTTTTTTTATATAATATAGCAAAATTTAAAGAGGAAAATAATTTATGATTGTGTGAGATTTACATTTTTTTTTGTGAGCATAAGCATAAGAATTGGAAAAGTAATATTCCAAAAAATGTATTGCTACATTTTAAAATGATTCATTGTTATTATACAGGGTGGGCCATTAGTGTGAGGAAGTAAAATAACTCCCTTGTTACTCATAATACAGAAAAAGAGTTTATATAAAAGTTGAACAGAATCAAAAACCTAAACTACAAAATTAATTTGAAACATACAGGGCGATGAGTAAAAACGGGACACGCCAAATATAACATTTTTTAAATGAAAAACCCTGTATATTTTTAAGCATATGGATTTCCGGGAAAATTCTATATATGGCAATATAAACAGTTTATAATTTTAGTGCGGGGTTGCCAAGTTATGGAGAAAATTCTTCGAATTTTGGAAAAAAACATGATCTCGAAGAACTTGTATTAACTTTCAGCTACTAACACTTGGAACAAAATAATTAGACAGAGTTATAGGCAAATGTTAGATAAATGCTCCTATATTAGCTAATATCAATATTTTATTCAGGACATTTTTTATAATACGATCATTTTTAGAAAGTTTAAACTTAATTTTTCAAATGGAACACCCTGTATTTTATTGTTCTATTTTATTCACACATCGGTTCACTTCAACTTTTATGAAGCATGTTCTATTTCAAAAATTGTTAGTTTTTAAGATACAGCAACATATCTGAAAAAAATTAATTTTTATTATTTTATAGAATACCACAAATAAATATTAAATAATAAAATTAACTCAAAATGGAATGATAAATTATGAACTGATAAGTTGACACAATGTGTCAGTTTTTACCAGACATTTCGTGCGACCCAAAACAATAAAAATTAGGTTTTTCCAGAAATTTTGCCATATCTTAAAAACTAACAATTGTAGAACATACTTAAAACAAGTTGAAGTGGACTGATAAAATATAACAATAAAATACAGGATGTTCCTTTTGAAAATCAAGTTTAAACTTTTTTAAAATGATCGAATTATAAAAAATGCCCTGTATAAAATATCGATATTAGCTAATGTATGAGTCTTTGCCTTACATTTGTCTATAACTCTGTCAAATATTTTTGCTCCAAGTGTTAGTAGTTGAAAATTAATACAACTTCTTCGAGGTCATGTTTTTTCCAGAATTTTCTACATAACTTAGCAACCCCGCACTAAAATGTTAAACTGTTTATATTGCCATATATAGAATTTTCTCGGAAATCCAAATGTTTAAAAATATACAGGGTATTCCATTTAAAAAATGTAATATTTGGCGTATCTCGTTTTTACTAATCGCCCTATGTTTCAAATAAATTTTGCCCTTTAGGTTTTTTGATTCTATACAACTTTTATATAAACATTTTTTCTATATTATGAATAACATAGGAGCTATTTTACTTTCTCACACTAATGGCCCACCCTGTATATAGATACTTGAAATATAGGATACAGGGTGGTTTGCGCTTTGCGTAGTTTAGTTTTCTAGTAACTTTCATGATTTCCTGAACCTCAGTTTTTTTTTAATAATTTTGTAACTGTAAAACATTAGAAATTTTAAATTCTCCAATGTTGTAGGTATAAATTAACATATTGTATTGACTAATGTTATTTAT